AGGTTATGGTGCAAAATCGAGCACGATGACAGCTTTATATTATATATACCAGCAAGGCGTGCTTGAAAATATGCTGTCACAATAGCAAGAGGGTAAACGGTATTCACGTCGAATATATCCAGGCAACAGCCTTGAGGAGGAAGGAGCGTGACTTGGCGTCCTGAGGGAGTGCAACCCATGGTGAATAGACATCGTATGACCCAAATCGTACAGGCCACAGCAATACCAGACTGCTGGCTAGCTTTATATCATTGTTTAATATCACAATGACGGACATGTGTAGACAATATAGGCGGCCATGTATTGTGCAGATGACATGTGAGCACAGTAGGGGGTACCGTGCAGTGAATGAAACGAACTCTAGGCGCTTCGAGTCGAAATCCTATCTTCACTTGGAAAAGCGGGTATGACTCCCATAGGTTTTCATAAGGGAAAACAGTGAATGAGCTTCAAGATCGAAGGTCTTTGAGTGTCGTCGAAATATCATTCACTGAACAGTGCATCACTAGCATCGCAGCATGAACATGAGGTTCGTAGAGCCACTGAGATGGTTCACGCATTTAGTCTTGACAGTCCTATGAGGGGCCCGCCTTGGTTGCAGAGACTCCAGCATCATGGATTTTTCATGTTGCAGCAAGCTCGCCTGATATTCCAGTCCTGAGGGTGTCATCGTGGAGATTTGGCTTGAGAGTGATCATGGCGACAGGTGATGTTGGAAGCTTGATAATCAGTTAGTAGACTGTGTAATAGTTGTAGCACCATGGTTAAATCGCATATGATTACTCAGACTATAGTGGGGACCAGTCGACATCTCTGATGTTCAAGGACAACAACTCAGCGTTGAGGTAGTGAGTGTGGTTGGGGGGCGAGCGATAGATGTGCTCACAGGTCATCGTGCGATTTAGTTTCCACATGGGGATTTGCGCTGCTGTGTGCAATCCCTATCCATGACAAAGCTGGTGTAGACGAGGATGGCGGAGGTAATGTTGATGTACTGAGCATTGATGCGTGTGAAGTGGTGGTATCGTAGAAGGACGCGTTTGGCAGCCAAGGAAGGTAGTTATAGCCGAGCGCTAATATTTCAGATGCGGCGTGCGTCATCGCGCTTGTTCTCGAAGATCTCGCCCCTACGGCGTGGGATGCGATGCGGGGCTTCAACGGCAGGGATGCGAGATTCCTTTGCGCATGCCTTTCGTAATTTCCTTGACATTCCTTCACGATGACAGCAATTAGATAGTATATCCTTTGAATTTTCTGCCCATCTCGCCGAGAGTCCTACCGCCTACTCAACGAGCCAGTTATCGCCCAGTATAGTGGCGCAGTTTTGCAGGCGGGGTCGTGTTATCACATAGCAGCCTTGGTAAGCTTCAGCCCCCCATAGGTATCCCATGTAAAAGCAATCCGGAATCGCGGAAAGAGTCTGGGCACAGTTCCTTCGTGATCAGAACCTTGCCTGTGGGATTGCGCTTCTTCTTTCGTTGTTCACTGCTTTTGCGACAGCTTGCTCATTACTGTACTCCCGATAGCTTTGTCAAGGTTTGCATTCCTAACAGGGGAAACATCGGAAACACTCCATACCAGCAAACAGAAGCTTACCGGGTGAATACCGAAAGGATGGTCTTGGGCGCAAGAAAAACACCCTCTCGGAAGGGTAAGCTCTCCGATTGACTTTGTATTCGCCCGTAAATTAACAAGGTATACTAGGCTCCATGGCGGACATGCCTGGAGATCTGAAGGAGCAAATCGACAAGCTTGAAGAGCTGTTCGTCGTATCTACGCCTAAGTTGAAGGAGATCTCAGATCACTTCGTCAAGGAACTCAAGAAGGGGCTGACCAAGGAAGGCGGTTCCATCGTATGTGACAATCCGAGACTCTGCGCGCACCAGCTGACACCAAGTAGCCTATGATACCAACCTGGTGCATGGCCTTTCCCGATGGCAACGAAACCGGCCGCTTCCTAGCGCTCGACATGGGCGGTACCAACTTGCGCGTTTGCGAGGTCACTTTGACGGAAGAAAAGGGCGAGTTCGAGATTATACAGTCAAAGTACCGCATGCCCGAGGAGCTGAAGACGGGCACTGCCGACGAACTTTGGGGTTATGTCGCAGATTGCTTGCAGCAGTTCATTGATTACCATCACGAGAATGAAGAACTCGACCACCTACCACTGGGCTTCACATTCTCGTATCCTGTGTCGCAGGATGCCATCGACCACGGTGTGCTACAACGATGGACAAAGGGGTTTGATGTACAAGGCGTCGAGGGAGTGGATGTTGTACCTCCATTCAAGAAGGCCCTAGAGGAGCGTGGGGTCCCAATCAAGCTCGCAGCCCTGGTCAACGACACCACCGGCACGATGATCGCCTCAGCGTACACCAACACAAGCATCAAGATTGGCTGCATCTTCGGCACCGGCTGCAACGCTGCATATATGGAGGACTGTGGTTCCATCCCCAAGCTGGAGCACATGAACCTTGACCCCTCGCTGCCCATGGCCATCAACTGCGAATGGGGCGCATTTGACAATGAGCACCAAGTTCTCCCACGTACCCCCTACGATATCATCATTGACAAGGAATCACCGCGGCCGGGCCAGCAGTCTTTTGAGAAGATGGTTGCTGGATTATACTTGGGTGAGATCTTCCGACTAGTCTTGCTAGATTTACACAAGGGCAATGAATGCACCATCTTCGAGGGCCAAAACGTCAGCAAGCTAACCAAGCCATACTCTCTCGACGCCGGTTTCCTCGCGCAAATCGAAGAAGATCGTTTCGAGAACCTTCAAGATACCAGCGACCTGTTCAGCGAAAAGCTCGGTATCCGCTGCACGAAACCTGAGCTAGAGTTGATCAGGCGTCTTGCCGAACTCATCGGCACACGTGCTGCCCGTCTGACTGCCTGTGGTGTATCTGCCATTTGCAAGCACAAGAAATGGGATCAAGTACACGTCGGAGCTGACGGTAGTGTCTTTACAAAGTACCCGCATTTCAAAGTCCGACAAGCGCAAGCGCTCAAGGAGATTATGGACTGGCCGGCCCAATATGGCAAGGGCAAAGGCGATCCTATTGAAGTACTGCCGGCAGAGGATGGCTCAGGCGTCGGTGCGGCGTTGATTGCCGCACTTACTGTTAAGAGGGTGCAGCAGGGTCAGTTGGCTGGTATTAGGGATAAGGATACCTTACTCCAGATGGTGCCGAAGAAGAGTAAATAGAAGGGGGTCGTAAATACGCTTTATTCGCCTCGCAGTAATCGGACAATAGCATTGTAAATATCTTCCTGGGAGACTTCGGGCTGCCATCAATGTATATGCGCGATTGAGAGGATGGGTGGATATGTCTGGCATGGTACGGTAACAAGGAGGCGCAAGCCGGCTGTCCAATCAATATCTAATTCACTTGTTACACGACTATCCGACAACTCGCACTCTCATACCGGGTCGGAAAGTTAG